TGGCCACCCCCATTGGCCAGACTGTCCCTCCCACTGACCATGGGCCCCTCCCATCTCCACACCAGATAAGGCCAGCCCAGTACTGCTTCATCTGGCAGTAGGCACTAGGGCTGGAATGGGGCCGCCCGGCTCCCCATGGCAGTGGGTGCTGCTGCTGCTGGGGCTGCTGCTCCCCCCTGCTGCCCCCTTCTGGCTCCTCAATGTGCTCTTCCCCCCGCACACCACGCCCAAGGCTGAGCTCAGTAACCACACACGGCCCGTCATCCTCGGTAAGCCCCCACCAGGCCCCGATGCACCAGGCTAGACCTTGGGGAGCCTGGGCCCCAGCCCCTGGTCGCAGACCCAGCTAAGGTCCTTCTGCCCCTGCATAATCCCTGATACCTGCCTCGGTGTGGGGAGGGGCCAAAGGCTTATCCTGTTGAGAAATGACCTCCTCCTCCCACTGCACTTGGTGTCTCTGAGTTGTCTACCTCGGGGGTGCGCCTGAGATCTTGGCCAGGGCATTACAAGCTGTGATCAGCCGCAGCCAAACCAGATCCTGGGCCAAGCCCACCACTTCTTTCTTGGCTCCCACCCACCAAGGATAAGATGACCAGCCCAGGGCAGGAGAGCAGAAGAGGCCCATCAACGCCTGCCCCCTGCTCCTAGGCCCAGCCCCCATTTCCCCATACCCATCTGTTCTCATCGTGGACTTTGGCAATAATGTAGCTCCATGCTGGGTATTTGCTTTGTGGAGGCAGGGGTCAGTGGCCTTGGTCCCTGCACCTTCCCTTCTGAGAGAGGCCTGGGTTTTGGGCTCTCTGAGGGGACAGTGGGAGGGGGTGACCAGAACGAGAAGATAAGTGTTCTTTGTACCTGTGGGTTGAGAGTGTGGGAGATGGAAGGGTGGGGATGGTCCTTGCAGTATCTGGGGGTAAGACTGGGGGAGGGGTCATGGGGGGACTCCAAGGAGTCCGGAGTGAGGACTGGTGCTCGCAGTGCCTGGCTGCCTGGGGAATCAGCTAGAAGCCAAGCTGGACAAACCGCACGTGGTGAACTGGATGTGCTACCGCAAGACTGAGGACTTCTTCACCATCTGGCTGGATCTCAACATGTTTCTACCCCTCGGGGTGGACTGCTGGATTGATAACACCAGGTATGTGCCACGTGCTTGCCTCAAGTCCCACACACTGCATCTTGGCCACTGGCTGCTGAATGTCCCACTGCTCCCAGGGTTGTCTACAACAGAACCTCTGGACACGTATCCAATGCCCCTGGTGTACAGATCCGCGTCCCTGGCTTTGGCAAGACCTACTCTGTTGAGTACCTTGACAGCAACAAGCTGGCAGGTGTGTATACTGGAGAAGCGGGCAGAGGCTCCAGGCTGTGGTGGTGACCCCCAGCAGTCACAGCCAGAGCCCCGAATGCTGCTGCCTCCCCTCATAGGTTATATGCACACGCTAGTGCAGAATCTGGTCAACAATGGGTATGCGCGTGATGAGACAGTGCGGGCCGCCCCCTATGACTGGAGGCTGGAGCCCAGTGAGTATCTGCAGACAATGGGCTTGTGGCAGGGCAGGTGGCCCTTGATCCCAGCTGTCATGACCCCATTTCCCGCGGCAGGCCAGCAGGAGGAATACTACCGGAAGCTTGCTGGGCTGGTGGAGGAGATGCATGCTGCTTACGGGAAGCCCGTCTTCCTCATCGGGCACAGCCTCGGCTGCCTGCACTTGCTCTATTTCTTGCTGCGCCAGCCCCAGTCTTGGAAGGACCGCTTCATTGATGGCTTCATCTCTCTTGGGGCTCCCTGGGGTGGCTCTATCAAGCCCATGCTGGTCTTGGCCTCAGGTGAGAGGGCCTGACCACTCATGTCCTGTGGGGGGAGGGTGGTGGGATGAAGCTGACGGAGAACCTACCTACCGTCACTCCAGCTTTTGCTCACAATGGCCACTGAGGGTGTTGTCTGAATGCCCAGTCATTGGCCCTCCCAGAGCGTGACCCCGGCCTGGGCTGTTAGAGTGGCTCCTGCCAGAGTCTGTGTTAGTGATGACAAAGGGGAAGTAAACACAGGAAGTGGAACCCACAATCTGGTTTCTTCCTTGTGGCCCCAGATCCTGCCTATCCAACTTTCTGCTCCCAAGCGCTCCTTTGCCCAGGGATCAGCCAAAGCCAGGGTCAGACACTAGGAGCCCCTCCTGCCCTTCCCTGAGGGGTGGCACCAGGGACCCCACACTGACACAGCTTCATCTATTCAGCACCCACTCTATGCTGGACACAGCCAGACTCAGCCTTCCCCTAGGTAACTCTCAATCCGGTGAGGGAAACATGCATCAGACTACACCAGTAAGTGTCAAGACAGAGATGCCATCTCATTTCATCCCTCCAGAACACATGGTCTCTGTGTCCCCCGTACAGCACAGGCCACACGCAGGAGCTGACAGATGCATGCCTGAGGGAGAACAGCCAGCGTCGCCCCCAACCATTCACATCCTCAGGAAGCCCCTCCCTACCCACCTACAGCCCCACCCTACAGAGGTGCCATGAGGTTCTCATTTAGTAAGCCCGTAGTGAACACCTACTGAATGGCAGGCCTGCTCAAGTCTATGGCTTGCAGTCTGGATTGGGCATGGACAAGATTGAGCAACCAGCTAAACTTACACTGGGGGCAAGCTGTGGACGCCCCAGGCCTGGCTTCCTGTCTCACCTAGCTCCATATTCACAGGTGACAACCAGGGCATCCCAATCATGTCCAGCATCAAGCTGAGAGAGGAGCAGCGAATAACAACGACTTCCCCCTGGATGTTTCCCTCTCAGATGGCTTGGCCTGAGGACCATGTGTTCATTTCCACACCCAATTTCAACTACACAGGCCGTGACTTTCAGCGCTTCTTTGTAGACCTGCGCTTTGAGGAAGGCTGGTACATGTGGCTACAGACGCGTGACCTATTGTCAGGACTCCCAGCACCTGGTGTGGAAGTATACTGTCTATATGGTGTGGGCCAGCCCACACCCAGCACCTACATCTATGACCATGGCTTCCCTTACACAGACCCTGTAGGTGTGCTCTATGAGGACGGTGATGACACGGTGGCTACACGCAGCACTGAGCTCTGTGGCCTCTGGCGGGAGCGCCAGCCACAGCCTGTGCATCTGCTGCCCCTGCACGGGACACAGCACCTCAACATGGTCTTCAGCAACCAGACACTGGAACACATCAATACCATCCTGCTGGGTGCCTACCGCCGTAGTACTCCTGTATCCCCAACTGCCAGCCCAGAACCCTTGTCCCCAGAATAAAGGTTTTCTTTGCTGATGTGTGTGTTGAGGGTTGAAGAGGACGCACTAGAGTCCCCACATCAAGTTTCACTCATCATCAGCCACAGGCTCAGCGCTGTGTGAAGCATGAGACAAGATGGGCTCCCACTCTCCTGGCTGAGCTGTTTCAGTAGCCGGCCCGGTGCCCGCCTCTGTGCTGGCATGGGATCTGGAGCCAGCTGCACCCACAGCCATGTGATGGGGGCACAGAGAGGGAACGATCAGCTCCCAAAAGGGCAGGTAAGACAGTGCTGGGTGAGTGACAGAGCCACAAGAGTTTAGGGTCTGGGAGTGACAACCATATCATTCCACTAATGAAGGTTTAATTGTTAATGAATCTGAGTGCTCTGAGAAAAGTCTAGGAAGCAGAAAAAGGATGATTCTTGCAGGTAAGGGGGGCTTCCCAGAGGAGGTTGGCCTACACGGAGGTCTGAGTGATGAGAAAGGTAACGGGCCACTAGGAAGACTTGGGTTTGAGATTTCCTAGAAAGACTCCCTTTCTGCAGAGCGGAATATAAGTTTGCGGATAGGGGATAGGAAGTGTGGGGTAGGCAGTGCAATTTCCAGGTGGGAGAGGATGCTTATTAAGACCTAGCAGTTTGCCACACGCAGTAGCTCAAGCCTGTAATCCCACTACTTTGGAAGGTGACGCGAGGATTGCCTGAGCTCAGGGCTTCGAGATCAGCCTAGGCAACTTGGTGAGACCTTGTCTCTACAATAAATCAAAAAATAAGCCAGCTGTGGTAAAGCGCACCTGTAGTTCCAGCTACTTGGAAGGCTGAGGTGGAGGGATCGCCTGAGCCCAGCAGGTGGAGGCTGCGACGGCTGTGAGTGTGTCACTACACTCCAGCCTAAGCAATAGAGGGAGATTCTGACTCAAAAAAAGTCTAGCAGTTATCAGGAGAAAGTTGTACAGATAAGAGGTCACTGGGAAGGTGAGATAATATGACTTGGCCATAGGTAGAGCTCAGCGTGCCTCCAGGCCACTAGATGGATAGTGCCCCTCTTGACAGAGGGAAGATTGCATCTGAGACAGAGAAGATGGAACAGCCAGTATCAGTGTGGCTGAGGAGTGAGCCTCAGTGGGCTTTTTTGTTGTTTTTGAGTCAGGGTCTTGGTCTGTCACCCAGGCTAGAGTGCAGTGGCATGCATGCTCACAGCTACGGCAGCCTTGACCTCTTGGGCTCAGGTGATGCTTCTGCTTCAGACTGTCAGCTGAAACTACAGGAGCATACCACTACACCTGGCATATTTAAAAAAATTTTTTGTAGGGACAAAGTTTTGCTATGATGCCCAGTGAACTCCTGGGCTCAAGCAATCCTCCTGCTTTGGCCTCCCAGAGTAAAGCATGAGGCACTGCTGTCACTCCAGCCACTGTTTGAGGTTTGCAGGAGGAAGCAAAAGCAACAAAAGAGGCAAGAGTTGAGAGAAGGGTGACAAAGGACAAAAGTCAGCCATGCATGGCCAGTGTTTTAGGGCACTGGGACTGGAGACTAGCGTTGGGCTTGGGGCAAGAGAGCTGGGGCTCTGACTGGAAGAGGGAGTCGAAGCTGAATAATGACCAGAAGGGAGGGATTAGTCCCTCTGTTCAGAGGACCTAGAGAGCAGCATGAAGGACTTACTAGGTCCTTTCCCAAGCTGCTCAGGACCATAGGTGAAGGTGAAAGTGAAAGATGAAGAAAACTAGCAGCCTATGAGGAAGGGTGAAGGCGAAAGCGAAAGTTGGAAGGACAGACGTGGAGCTCTGCAGAGGTCTAGGCAGAGAACTTTTTCTCTCCCGGCTGACCCCACTGGCCTGAACGACCCATCTACCCCAAACCCTAAACCGCCCTGCCTGCCCCAAGATGCTGGAGCCAGCGCTGGAGCTCCGAGGGGGCTTCTCCTTCGAGAACTGCCAGAGGTGAAGTGGGGAGGGCTAGTCCGAGCTGCCTCTGCTTGGGCGTCGGACTTTTTTGCAGGCTGGGGGAGGGGGAGGTGTGTTGGGCGACTTGGATTCCAGGCTTACCCCGGGAGATGAGAGACCGGAACGAGGCTGAAGGATGCGACAGAGGTCTCGGAAGCAAAACTGAAACCCGGGCCACCCCACTTTGTTTCCAGAAACGCATCCTTGGAGCACGTCCTCCAGGGGCTCAAGGTCCCTCATGCACGCAAGACCGGGACGACCATCGCGGGCCTTGTGTTCCGAGTGAGCAGGAGGGAGTGCCTGGGAAGCTGGAGGGCGGCTGGAGATCCCGGGCGGGCACTGAAGCAGCGCCCTCTCCACCTCCAGGACGGGGTCATTTTGGGCGCGGATACGCGGGCCACTAACGATTCGGTCGTGGCGGACAAGAGCTGCGAGAAGATCCACTTCATCGCCCCCAAAATCTAGTAAAAATCCCCAGCCCCAATCGCGCACGCAAGAAAGAACCGCCCCCTCGTTTCCACCCCGGTCCCCGCACATCCCAGCCCTGCCTACACCGATCCTCCCTTTGCCCTCAGCTGCTGTGGGGCTGGGGTAGCTGCGGACGCCGAGATGACCACACGGATGGTGGCGTCCAACATGGAGCTACACGCGCTGTCCACTGGCCGCGAGCCCCGGGTGGCCACCGTCACCCGCGTCCTGCGCCAGACGCTCTTCCGGTGCGGTGAGGGGCTAAGATGACACTGGGGGGACAGTTGCGGGGAGGACGGAGCTTACGGGAGGCGGGGCAGGAGAAAGGGAGAAGCGACGAAGTGCCGGGAGACCGGAAGAGGCCGGCCTAAGAGAAAATCTGCAACAGGAAGAGGCGGTATCAGTCTTGGAGCGGCAGGCCACAGGAAGGGGCGGGGCTTGGTCTAGGGGCGGGGCCACTGGGGCGGGCCCTGGATCCAGTTTGCGGCCGACCACGCCTACCCGCGAACAGGTATCAGGGCCACGTGGCTGCGTCGCTGATCGTGGGCGGCGGAGACCTGACGGGACCGCAGCTCTACGGTTTGCATCCCCGTGGCTCCTTCAGCCGTCTGCCTTTCATGGCCCTGGGTGAGTACTTCCGTCTCTTCTCCTCGAACCCCGCCCCTGCGACCCTGGCCTCGCGTTTGTTCCCGAGTAGAAGCAGCTGACCTCAGATGCTCCCTCTGCCCGCAGGCTCCGGCCAGGACGCGGCCCTGGCAGTGCTGGAGGATCGGTTCCAGCCGAACATGACGGTGAGCGACCTCTGCCCCCCACTACGTGGTCACTGGTGGGAGGTTCACCGGGAGCTGGGGGAGAGCAAAGGGACCCTGGCCCATTATGGAGGTCGGGAAGTCAGTCTTCTAGGGGGAGGTGACAACTGCGGGATGAGTGGAGTAAGGGTGGAGAAGTGCGGTCCTGACAGACCATCGTCCAGTACCAAAACGTAGACGGCCAGGAGAAGTGGAAGCTGACAGGATCATTCGGAGCTGAGGGAGGAAGGAAAGCCTAGTGGAGTCCTATATCTAAGTCTGGAGTCTGGATTTTGTTTGGGGTGGGATGGAAATAGATGAGACATGTTGCTTCAGAGGTGGGTAAAGCTCAGAGAGAGAAACACAGTGAGAGATTGAGGGCCAAGACCAGATTGGGTGGGTGAACAGACCAGTTGAAGAGGGGCCGGGAGTGTAGGCAACTCTGAGAAGTTTGTAAAGAGAAGGGTAGTGGGTGGAGGAAATGCTGGGTCTTGGGAGAGAAGGAGGCAGAGACCGGGGGAGGGGAGTTTGTGGTGGAGGGGGAGAGGAGGTTGGGTGTGAGCAAGTGGTAAATAACCTAGGCTTCAAGATGAACAAAGTCACCAGGCTGTAGCCTGAGGTAACACCAAAGGACCCATTAGGCCTCACACATACATCACCACAGCTGGAAGCCGCACAGGGGCTGCTGGTGGAAGCCATCACTGCAGGGATCCTGGGTGACCTGGGCTCCGGGGGCAATGTGGATGCATGTGTGATCACCAGAACTGGCGCCAAGCTGCTGCGGACCCTGAGCTCACCTACAGAACCCGTGGAGAGGTGGGAGCTGGGGTACCCCAGGGACAGGTGGGATGGCAGCAGGGGAGGTTGAGGGCTGCAAGAAGGGGACAGGTCACATGATGCACCCATGGTAAGCTGTCCCACCTCCCTCCCAGGCCTGGCCGCTACCGCTTTGTGCCTGGAACCACAGCTGTCCTGACTCAGGCAGTGAAACCATTAAACCTGGAGCTCCTGGCAGAAACCGTGCAGGCTATGGAGGTGGAATGAAGTAGGCTGAGGCTTAGAGCTTGGAACAAGGGAGAATAAACCCAGAAAATACAAACACCTACACAGTGACTGTGTCGTTCTTTCTTAGGTGGAGCGGGGCAGGCAGCCAGCAGGGCTCTGTGGCTCAGTTATCTCTGCAGGGGCCATTGCCTCCCATAGCTCCACTGCCTGGCCTAAGCCCATCAACTCATGCATCTACCCCTCCAGAACCTCATCCCTGGCCAGCACTGTATGCTCAAGGGGAAATGCTCCCATCCAGTCTTCCCCCTAAACTTCCTTCTCTACACAATGGATGCTTCCCTTACCACTTCCTTGCCTTGCTCTTGACCTCTAGTCCACTGGGGACTGTTGCAAAACCCAAAAGACCCCATGTACCGCCCCTTCCTAGAGCCTTTCCCTGGCTCCTCAGTGGCCCAGGACAAAACCCGCACCCTTCAGTCAGGCCCCCGTACACCCCATTGAGCGGTAATGTGCTGCCAGAGGAGCTGCTCCCTGACTCCAAGGGCATGTTCTCACCAAGCGCTCTTCGCTCCTGTAATGCCTTTACCTGTTACATGCTTCAGTAACACACCTGGGCTGCTTACATGAAGCTGGGTTTCTGTCTGCATACTCTGAGCAATGAATAGGAAGACTGACTTCAACTTTCCCAGGCTGGTAGGGATCACTGGACTCATGTTGGGAGAGATACACATTTATCCAACTGAGCACCCACTGGGTGTCAGGCCCAGCTTCTGGGTGCTAGCGGGAGCATCCTGCCCTCAGAATTGCTGAGTGCCACGAGTTTTGGAACTGTTAGAGTCTGCCCAACCTCTAGGGAGGATTTAGTTGGGACTGGACATCACTGCAGGGATCCTGGGCCCCTGATTGTGCTTCCCCCACCTCCAATATTCTATTATGAAAAATAAGACAGAAAAGTGGAAAGAGTTCTACATTGAATACCCATACACCCACCACAGACTTGGCAATTAGGATTTCGTTCTATTTGCTTTATCGTCTATCTATTCGTCCATCCCTCTGTTCATCACCTAACTCATCTCATCTCTTTGACTGATATGTTCTGGAATCAGTCAAATCCCTCACACCTCGGGAAGGAAGCCAGCCAACTTACCTGTTGCGACTTTGTACACAGGGGCATCTTCACTCCCTTCAAGCTCTGCCTGGAACTCAATAACAAATGGTCCTTGCCCATGGAACTCCAAGGCCTGGAGGCTGTCAGTCCAGGGTCTGCCAGTCACTAAGAACTCACACTGCCCTCCTGTGTGCCAGGCCCTTCACAAGCATCATCTCATCATTAAGAATGGGGGCTTCAGCCGGGCTCAGTGGCTCAGCCTATAATCCCGCGCCTTTGGGAGGCTGAGGTGAGTGGATTGCCTGAGCCCACGGGTTCGAGACCCGCCTGGGCAGCGAGACCTCATCTCTACAATAAAATCAAAAAATCGGCCGGGCGTGGTAGCGCATGCCTGTAATTCCGGTTACTCGGAAGGCTGAGGCGGAAGGATCGCCGGAGCCCAGCAGGTCGAGGGTCGGTGGCGGGAAGCGGCCACTGCACTCCAGTCTGGGCAACAGAGTGAGACTCCAACTCAAAAAAAAAAAAAAAAGAATGGGGGCTTCAGAATCAGACAGATGAGGGTTTGTGTCTAACCCCACACATACTGGTGGGAGAGTCACCATCTCTCTAAGCAAACCTGCAACTCCTGTTCCAAACTGATGAAGAATTGCTGAGATCATGTCTGTTAGGACTTGCAACCTGCCAGAACCTCTGTTTTGGCCACATGGTCCAGCCCTCCACAGCATAGCTGACCATTCTCTCCACCAGAAAGACTACCCTGGATGCTAAGCAGCCTTCTGACAGTCTAGTGCCCTTGATATCCCTGAGAAACTCTGATCCCAGCCACCAGTTTATCACTATAGACCTAATTTAACCATATGTCCTCAGTACCCAGGACTCAACACTTGGAATGGGAGGTGGTTCACGAACCCAATCAGAAGCCAGGCTTTGAGAGGTGGAGGAGATGAGAGCTTCACACCTGGGCTTTGTCTGATAAGTCCAGGCCTGAGTCAGGGGACCTTGGCCTAAAAAGTCTCTTGTGTCTGGAGTGTGGGATGGAGCTGAGCTCATGCAGCTGGCCTGGCCTCAGGCCCAGAACTTTGACTCAAGGACGAGAAGACCCATAAAACCAGGCCCAGTTCTCGACTTCATGAACCTGCCACAATGCTGCTGCTCAGCCTGACCCTTAGCCTATTCCTCCTCGGCTCCTCCTGGGGTGAGTGGGCCAGGACCATTCCTGAAAGCCCTGAAGGCAACCTAGCTCCCAGCCAAAGGGCCCAGGGAAGGGGCCAAGCTGGCTAGAAGGGAAACAGTTGGAGAGAGTGGACAAAGGAAAAAGATGTACCATGGCAAAGGAGCAAGAAGGGCCTGCAGGGCTGGGAAAGGGCAAGAAGATGAAGTCCAAGTGGGAGTCAGACCCTCAAGGGCTTCTGCTTTCCCCTAGCCAGGAGCACAGACAAGAATACATGAAAGGACAGAACCTGGAGTCTTTATTGGGTTGAGATAGGGAGCGGGACATGGGTGCTTATTGGGGTCAGGAGAAAAGTGGTCTGAGCCGGAGGACGGGGCAGGGTTGGGGAACAGCAGGGACTAGGTTGGAGAGAGATGTGGTAGACTGGACAGGGCTTGGGGACTAGTTGGATGGGGACAACTGAAGCCCAGAAGGTGCTCAGGGGAAGGGGTAGTGCCAAGCCCTCTTGATTTGGACCTCTCTGGGATGCACAGCCTGGGGGCACCCAGGAGAAGGAGGCTGGGAAAGGTGGACTAGGGTATGGTAGCAGGTCCTTACCAGCCTAATGGCTAGGTTGCGGTGTTCCTGCCATCAAACCGGCGCTGAGCTTCAACCAGAGGATTGTCAACGGCGAAAACGCAGTGCCAGGCTCCTGGCCCTGGCAGGTGTCCCTACAGGTATACGCACCAGCAGGGTGGGGCAGGGTCCCGGGTGCTTCATGCACAGGCATAGCCTAAGCCCACCCCTTCCTCTGACCCCTGACCCCAGGACAGCAGTGGCTTCCACTTCTGTGGTGGTTCGCTCATCAGCCAGTCCTGGGTGGTCACTGCTGCCCACTGCAATGTCAGGTGAGTGTTTGCACTGCACCTGCCCTACCCCAGTCCACCTCTTCCCACCTCTTTCCCCTGGCTGCCCTTCTCTTGCTCTACCCTCCTTGTGGCTGCCCAACCCCACTCTTTCTGCAGCCCTGGCCGCCACTTTGTCGTCCTGGGCGAGTATGACCGATCATCCAGTGCTGAGCCCGTGCAGGTTCTGTCCATTTCGCGGGTGAGTGCCTGGGCTGCAGACACAGAAGGAAGAGTGGGCAGGCCAGGTGGGTGGGTTCTGGGAACAAGGAATTCAGGGCATGTTCTGGTCTACCTGCCTCAGCATCCATAGCCCTGGGTACCCATGCCCACCCCAGCCTGACATAGCCTCCTTCTGGTCCCATAGGCCATCACACACCCTAGCTGGAACCCTACCACCATGAACAATGATGTGACGCTACTGAAGCTTGCCTCACCAGCCCAGTACACGACACGCATCTCACCAGTTTGCCTGGCATCCTCCAACGAGGCGCTGCCTTCAGGCCTCACATGTGTCACCACTGGCTGGGGCCGCCTCAGTGGTGTGGGTAGGAACTCGGGCCAAAGATCTGGGTGGGAGGGTTGGGTGGGGATAAGCATTCTGGCCTGGCCTGACCACTCCCTCCTGGCCCACAGGCAACGTGACACCAGCTCGTCTGCAGCAGGTGGCTCTGCCCCTGGTCACTGTGAATCAATGCCGGCAGTATTGGGGCTCACGAATCACTGACTCCATGATCTGCGCAGGTGGCTCAGGTGCCTCCTCATGCCAGGTAAGCACCCACACCTTGTCCTCTGCACTGTCCTATGGCATACCTCCCCAGTCCCTCACCCTGACTTCTCCCTCTTCCCCTCTCAGGGTGATTCCGGAGGCCCTCTTGTCTGCCAGAAGGGAAACACATGGGTGCTTATTGGCATTGTCTCCTGGGGCACCAGCGACTGCAATGTGCGAGCACCTGCCATGTACGCTCGGGTCAGCAAGTTCAACACCTGGATCAACCAGGTCATGGCCTACAACTGAGCCCACCACAGGTCCTGCTCCCCATCTCAATCCAATAAAGACTCCAGGTTCTGTCCTTTCATGTATTCTTGTCTGTGTTCCTGGCTAGGGGAAAGCAGAAGCCCTTGAGGGTCTGACTCCCACTTGGACTTCGTCTTCTGGCATGGAAGGAACTGAGGAGTCAAGTTCTTCCTAGAGTAGCCATGCTCAGGCTGGAACCCTCCACCTCTCCTCTTCCAGGGCAACACTTTGGTCCTACAGCAAAGAGTCAGGACAGTCAGAACAAATGGGCAGCCCTCCCTGAGAAGGGCAGCCTGTTTAATGAATACAAAGGATACATTTACAAACTGAGTACACATAATAAATAACTGCACATTCTCCATCCATGGTCCATGGCATGAAGGTCCAAGTCTCCAAATCCCCTCTGTCCTACTCTCAAGATAAGCCTACCCTGGGCAAGAGGAAACAAACCCCCAGGGCTTCAGGCCCCAGAGATACTTGGGGAAATGGGGGGAATTCTGAGGCCATGGGTCTCGGCTCTCCACTGCCTCCTGTCCAAGAGGCAGTGGGGACGGAAGGAGTGGGTGTATAAGGCACAGTTGACTTGGCACAGAGTGGTCTCTTTGGTTTGCTTTCTCACTGGAGATGGCACATATAGAAAGAGGAGAGCCTGGCCCAAGGTGGCCCACTGAGAGGAGCTGAGTGGGGGACAAACCCTCCCTGTTGGCAAGGACCCTGCAGTTTAGCTAATGCCAAAGCTGGTCCCTGGCCCCTTCTCACCCACTGAAAGCAGTTGTGGAGGAAAGGGCTTGGGCTCCAGCATGCTTTGTGGTGGAGAAAAAAAACCATAACAGACAAGGGGACGGTTCTGGCTCAGGCCTCTGGGAAAGCAGCCACCCAACCCCACCCACCTCCCGCAGGGGCTCCCTCCAGCCTGAGACTCAGCATGGCCCAGACTGGATGGTTAATGCTGTGATAGGAAGCGGGCAGAGGGTGGTTGGAGCAAGGCCAGCTGTGAGAAGGCCGGTGGCCCAGGCACCCAGGGTTCAGAGGCAGGTTACACAGTATGGCTAAGTTCCAGGGAGAGGTGCGCAGAAGCTCAGCAGAAGGAGAGAGCTGAGCAGCACGGGACCCTCCTCCAATGCAGCAACGAATTCCTTCCCACTTTCTCCTGGAGGACTATGGTTGTACACAATGGGCATGCATCGATCACTCCCAGACTGCGTATACCCATGCCAGACACCAGATGGCGCCTTCGTGCAGCTGCAGAGGAGGGAGTGGAGAAGACTGAAGGGAAAGGGCCACGGTGGGTACCAAAGGATGGAACCAGGGCTGACAATGGAATCCTAAGAGGAATTTCCTGCTCTCAGCCTTGGCTCCCAGGTGTCCCCAACCCCCAGGTAGCAGCAGTGGGGCTCCCTTTGACCACCCACAGTTGGGAAGGAGGCACCTGGGGAATGGAATGGGCATCCAAAGGGGCAAGGGAGGTAATGGTGAGTTCTGCAAAGGCACTAAGGGTGGTAGGCTAGTTGGCATGGACCCTCCAGAGAGAGGCTGGAGCCTGGGGCAAGCCTGCCGCCACTTGGCCACACAATTCAGAAGGACTAAGATCCGTGCCACAGCCCTACCACCAGAGGTCCTGGCAAGTCCTAGGGCAGGAGGGATTCCAGGGGACACTGTGAAGGAAGACAAATCTTGGCTGGGAGGTGGGGGTCTGTTTGGATCTAGTCGGGGTCCCCCAAGACACAGGCCTTGTGCCTACTAGGGCCTCCCACTGGAACATAATCTTGAGGGTCAGGAGGCCATGCAATGTAGGGAGCCAAGGAGGAAGGTTTTTTGGAGGAAATGGGGAGGGGGTTCCAGAAGTAACTGTTCCAAAGGGTCCTGAGGCCATAGGACACCTTCAATTGAGCACTGCAGGCTCCTTTGGAATAGGAAGAGTCAAAGGGTAAGGAAGACAGTGAAGTCCTGCTTTTTTCCCCAACTCATGCCAGAGCAGCTACCCACCAAAAGGGGTATCAGTGCCAGGTCAGGCTCCTAATTTGGGGGAGGTGTCATAGCCCCCTGGGCTACCTCCATTCTGTTGCACCTGGCCCAGGCCCATAGTGAGGATGGGGGCTACTGAAGGCACAGAGTAGGGGCTGTGGCCAGACATTCTTCACCTACCACTGGCCCTGCAGGCCTAGCTCCAGAGAGGGTATGGGGCCCAAATGGCACAGCAACGTATGGTCAGGCTGAGACCACACCACATCTGTACCTCAGCCAGGTGGCTCAGCCATTGTACTGCTGCTGGTAGCGCAGGTTGAGCTCCCGTAGTTCCCGCTCCCGCACACGGCGTGACTTGTTGGAGCGTGTGGAGCGGCTAGAACGTGTGGACTGGGCAGATTTGGTGCTCTGACAGCGTGAAGAGGCGCGTTTGAGGAGGTTCTGGGAGATGGAGCGGTGCAGGTTCTTCATGGATGAAGAGGCTGCCATGCTTACCACCCACGGGTGCCTCAGGGCCTGTAGTGCAGTCATACGGGCTCCAGGGTCCACTGTCAGCAGGCGATCAATGAAGTCCTTGGCCAGATTGGACACACTAGGCCAGGGCTAAAGACCAAGGACAAGCATTAGAACAAGAGCACTCAACACTGTCCACCCCATCTGGATGAGGCCACCACCAGAGTACGTGGACCTACCCAGTGTCCCTGCACTCCCCCCAGAGAGAGGCACTGTACTCTTCTCCCTTGTAGTATTCTGGGCCTCCTCTCCCTACTTATCACTGGCCCAATCTGCTGAGCAGGGGTTACACTCTGGGTGATAGAGTCTCACAAGGACAATCAGGACTTGTTTCCTTTCCGAGAGAGCAAATTTCTCTGGTGCACTGGACCCAAAGCCTGACTCAAGGAGGTGGCCCCTGCTAAGACCTTCACAACTTATCACAGGACCACCATAACTCGGGGGGATTTAAAGAGAATGACTCAGACTTTCCCACCACATCCTGAGTCAGAATTAAATTCCAATCCCTCCAACTGCCAAAGGAGGAAAGGAAACAATTCAAGGTAATTAGATTTCTCAGTCTGCTGAGAGGACAGGGGCTCCCAGAGGCCAGGCTGCATGACTTCTCTAAGCCACAAAGGGCTCCTGGCCATGCTGTGTGGCAGTCTCATATTAGTACCTTCTGTCCCCAGTAAGTAACTCCAGAAAGCCTGCTCTGCTACATGTGCCCAGGGCTGCCTCATCTCAGCCACACACCAAGTGGCTATCTATTTGGGGTCTCAGGCTGCACAGCTCTTCACCTGGCTGAATCCTTAGGTTCACAGGGCAAAGAACACTTGCTCGGACTCCTTCTTAGTCCCCAGCGCTTATGGCAATTACTCCAGCTGTAACTTTAAGGCTGCAATTTCAAGTTTATTATTCCCATTAGACCTGGCCAAGCTGGATGAGCCCCAGTGCCTGGTACAGCACATACAGGAGGCGCTCAGTGGGTACAGGCTCATGAGTAAACAAACCATGGATGTCGCCTGATAGATGCCCTTTCCTGGAGCTACTTCTGAGTCATGGGGCTCAGTCAGGTGGGGGGCAGCCTGGAGGGCGACTCGGAGGCCCTGCATCTCTGAAGAGCACTTTCAGCATAGGCTTTGATGTTCCCCAAAGGGTGGGTGGCTGGGACTTTCCCTGAATCTGCTGCAGGTGGCTTGGTTGGGATCAGGAACACCATCACTTTCTTTCCTGCCAGGTGAGGTCTGCCTCTTCCATCCCACAGTACCCTTCACCTTGAAGAACACCTGAACATGCCCTCTAGGGGGCTCAGGAAAATCTCTGAGAGCCCATCATTGGAGCAGCTGTACAACCATTTAGCAGACACACATTATCTACTGACTACTGCTGTCCCCAGTCTGGCTCTCTTGACTTTCAACTCTTCATCCACCATCTTCTCCACTGCTGTACAGGGGTGAAACAGGGAGAACATGCATCTGCAGTCCTGAGGAAGGGTTGAGGCTACTTGCAGCTGTTGTCCTCACCTGCCCTTTGGAAGGTGAATCTCAACTTTTACTGAGCTGAAATGAAATGACAGGGGACCACATTTCCAAATAGCCACCTAACAAAGTCGTCCTTACCAGTGGGCCAGCTCCCAGAGATTTCTGAGAGATGCTGGCCCTCAGGAAGAGGAAAATTAGGGCTTCAGGGACATGCAGCCAAGGGAGGCCCATAGAAACCCTGCTGTCCGAGAGCACTGAGGGGGTGTAGGGAGCAACAGTCCTTCCACACAAGCAGATGTGTCCATGTTTCCTTGCAGGCCTGTGTAGCTCAGGGTTCTGATATCGAGCTGATACACAGAGTGACCAAACTAGACAGTCGCCACATTAGCTTTTGGCTCACAACTCAAGAAAGTCCATGGTTGCCCCCTGAACACAAGGAACCACTGTTAGGGATCTGCCAGTCTAGACCACACTCACTGCAGCTTCTGTCACTCACTTAAGAGATGGAAAGAAGCAGGCCTAATGGGGACCCTGATGGACACAGCGCATATGGAACTGAGCAAAGTGGGTCAGAATACTTGTGCATCCTGCTGGCTTTCTATCACTTCCAAGGAAAGAACTCACAAGGGAATATATGGCAGCTCAGCCTGGCCTACTGATGGAACGACCCCAGGGCAGAGCCGACAGCTCAGGCTAGCCCAAACAATACTGGAACACGGATTCTGTTCCTGCCTCTTCGTCCAGCCAAGACAAAAGAGGGGCAACTCTTCTAGAGGGTAAAATAGTGGTAAAGCTGGACTTACAGTCAGAAACCTGAATATGGAAAGGTTGGAGGAGTCCCTACTGCACATCCACATCCAGTCGAACCACAGACCCCGCATCTCTAAGCCAGTCATCGAATCCTGGAGGGGCTTCTCCCCAAATCCGTCTTGTGGACTTAAGCATCATCTCCAGAGTAGCACAGGCTCACACCAGGCATCGACTCCTGCTGCTCATGGAGCGGCTAGCCCGTTAGTGCCAAAGCGAGCCAGATTGATCTGCCCATCCTGTTCCCCTAGACTCTCGCCTCACCAATTATTGCGTACATGCGGCTGTGTGCAGAATGCTGATGGACTCATTTATCTGAGGGTTGACCCAGCCTCTCTGGCAGGTCCCATCTCTCCCCAGTCTTTGAAGAGTTGAGAACAGCTAGGCCAGGAGGGTCCCCCCTATCTAATGTGACTCAAGTTGTCCTGATCTGAGAAATAGGCTGTACCAATGGTCCCCAGTCTATCCTTTGTACACTGAGGAATCTGCAGAGGGAAGTCAGGCAGGCCAAACACAGGGAGGTGGTTCTCATTCCCCACTGACAGTGAGGAAGAGGCTTAGGCTGACCTCCAGAATAGCAGCCCCTGGGAACTCTGCTTGAGGCCTCCCATGGGGCTCAGAAAGGTGCATCTTTCCACACTCACCCACAGCTACTCTTTGGGCCCAGGTCCAACCTAGCACCTCCTAAGAAAGTGTCCAACATCCACAGCCCAACCCACCTGCTTCCCCAACATGCTCAGGCCCATGGAGCCACATAAGAATGTCTGTTAGCCTAGGTCTGACTGGCTGGCAAGGATCCCAGGTTTGAGAAAAAGCAAAATGATAAACAGTAATGCCTTTCAGCTTCCACAGCTCTGCTTGCTCTGGGTAAAGGAAATAACTCTCACCTCACCTCAGTATATTTGGGGTCACACCAGGGACACATGTGACCTCAGGGTTGACAGATGGCACAAGTACCAAGCACCACTTGGTCCATTTCCCAGAGGCTTCCATCTGCTTGTGTGTTGACATGGAGCACAGGGCACAGAAGAAGTTAAGATGTTGGCTGGCTCTTTGCCTCTAGACACTCAGGTCTCCCCTTGCTCTGGGATCAGAAGACAGCTTTGATACCCAGGATGACAGACTATACTCTCCTTTCCACAAGTCTCTGGAGCTGCATGGGTAAGGGGCTGGACCCTGCCACAAGAAGAGGACAAGGAGAGGCTGTGAGAGGAGGGGCATCACCTCCACTCTGAATGATCACCAAGCTGGCTGCTTTTCTCCCGTCTGCAGTCCCTAAAAAGTTATTGTCCCCTTGTAGTTAGGGTACCTACTCCTGATGTTGGAACAGCAAAGGCTGTAGGCACGGTGGTTCAAGCCTATAATTCCAGCATCTTGGGAGGCCAAGGTGAGAAGATTGCCTGAGTCTAGGGGTTCAAAACCAGCCTGGGCAACTTGGTAAGAACTCATCTCTATGATAAATCAAAAAATTAGTGGCACACTCAGGTGATCCTTCCACCTCAGCCTAGTAGGTCAAGGCTACAGTGGCCATGTGCCGCTGCATTCCAGCCTGGGTTACAGAGTGAGACTTCGATTCAAAAAAAAAAAAGAGTCAAGAAGAATGCTGTTTGCTCCCTCTGGAATCAGCCTGTACCAGCAACCTAGTAATGTCTGCTTTTTTTTTTTTTTTGAGTTGGAGTCTCACTCTGTCATCCAGACTGGAGTGTAGTGGCACACTCCCGGTCACAGCAGCCTTGACCTGCTGGGCTCTAGCAATCCTTCCACCTCAGCCTTCCAAGTAGCTGGAACTACAGGCACGCACTACCACGCCCGG